CCCCCCCGGGGGACGAGAGCAACGCTCTCCTGCGAACATCTCCTGGATGTGGGATGAATGACACAAAAAGCCCCTTCTCAGGAATGTTCCCACGGGGGGCTCACAGAGCCCTCTAGCAAGTCCTGACTAGATCGAGAGGAGGAGAAGTGGCTGCGGTGTGACTCACAGGAGCTCCTGCCCTGCCACAAATCTCGCTAGTCTTCATGGTGCAGCTGGACTCTTGAACGTCTCTACCAGATTTTGACCAGAAGAGGTTCCGACAGACAAATGCTCACGTTTTAAAAACATGACAAAGCATGAAAAAGGAGACTTCTGAACCGATTGGGCCGACAGTTTGCAGGAAACCAGCAACGCTGGGCTGAAATAAGTGTGTGTGTGTGTGGGGGGGGGAATAGTTTCAGTGAACGAAGCGGTGACTCAGCAGGACTCTGAGAGTTTATGCAGGCCTGGCCGAGCTGTAAACGCCCCGTGGCCCTTTGGTACCCCCCCCCCAGGAGCAACCACTGGACACATTCCGAGTTCCGTTGTCTGCCACCTGATCCTAATAGAGGGAGATTCCTACCAAACGCCGCCGCCCCCCCCACCCCCCAAACTGTTCTAAAGGCCTCCAGGTCACCAGTGCTCACAACAGACCCATTTCTGCCGTTGCCCTAGGATGGTAAAGCTCCTGGAGACAGTCTGACGTGATCTTGATGCCTGGAGATATTGCCAGATGCTACCTGCTCAGTCTCTACAGCGTCCTGTCCCACCCAGGCTTAAGAGGGACTGCTTGCAAGCACAATTATGCTGTACAGGGGCGCCCCCTTCCCACACTATGGGCAGAGAAGCTGAGTGCTTCAGTTCCATCCATCTCACACATCTATATGTCTAATTCCAACAGGGGGCGGGTTGTGCGGATACTTATTTCCACCAACAGGAAGCTCACTCTCCCTTAACAGCTTTTCCAACATAGTCAGTAGACTTCCTGTGTCTGCAGAAAAAATCCAAGAAGTAAAAAAATCCCTTCAGGGAGGGTTGAATTCCCCCCAATACCTTTTGAAATGGCCTCTGCAGCAGGGATCTAACTCCGGGCACCAACGGTGAGAGAGAGAGTAGAAAGTTCAGGGCGG